AGCGTAGCTATGATACAGCCTCTCCATTTTCCATGTTGGGTTGATTATCTGCATTGATTATTTAGATTAGGATCTCATCAAGGCAGAGACAGTCTCCTGCAAAAGCACCTTCCAGCACACAGCCCAGAAAATGCCTCCGGGTGACACTCCAGCACAAAGCAAGGAGCTGGCATGACAGCAACATGAAAGCTTTCAGCAACCTCTTTGGACAGGAGGTTCATAAAAGTCTATTAATAATACCAGGAAACACTGTCCTTTTCGTATCACTTCAGCTTTGGGTCCGCATTTATTTCCTCTTAGCACTGCTTTAAGTCTAGCGGACTTAAATACAATGAACACACTCCACTGCTTATCTACAAAACCCAGCTAATAGGATTGTGATCTGCATTTAGAGGGCACCCAGCTCCAGGCTGGGGGTCCCCATCCCACCTCTGCCTGCTCCCCTCTCCCAAGACACCACTCTGCAGGGTTGTCCCACGTCCGTGAGGTTGGATGCTCGTCTCCCATCAGCTTCCCCACCTCTTTTTGACCCATCAGCCCAACAGCTATGAGTATTGCAATGACACTAAGCCTCTATGTTGAATTAATTAATTTCCTTTATTTATATACAGGAAAGGCAATAAAAGAATACGATACTATAGGCCAGAGATTTGATCCCAAGTGTCCTTTGTAGCAGACTTTCTGCTCACATTGTCCATAGCAATGTCTGTGCTTTGCCTTTTCCTCCATGGCAACGCAATATTCCCCCCACAATACCCCACGGTCAGGATTAGGCCCTGCACCCAGGACCTAAGGCACAAGTCTCTGCCACTTGAGCCAGAGAAATCTCTACTACAGGCACGAGGGAGGAGCAGGCAGGGACAATGGCCGGGGAGGGACATGGCAGGGAGCCATGGTCCTGTAGACGTGCTGTCCCGGGGCTTAGGCTGGTCTCCTGCCACCAAAATCAGCCCCTGTCCCATTACTGATTTATATAATACATTGGTTTACATAGTATGTATTTATATTGGGTTGATATAATATATCTGGTTGGGCTACTCTCCTTGCAAATCAGCATTTAAAAAAAAATAGCTAGTGGGTTGAGGGGGGGCTCTGTCATTTGCCACTCAGTTCAAGGTATCCCAAAGGAAAACCCGAGTTTTAAAGGACAGATCCAGCCCAGAAAGCCATGAGATGACAGCAGCAGAAAGAGGCTAACCGAGTCCTAAAGACATATCTGGAAAAACAGCTGTGTGTCTGGGCCTGCCGTGTATCTTAACAGCATCCAGCGGTCACCAGTAACACAACAGGGCTTTGCTGGAGCCCACGTAACCCTGACTGGACCAGGTCAGTCTCTCTTGGCTGGAAGGGTTTGTGCCCCTTGGTCTCTTGGGTGCTTTGCAATGCTGCATAAAACCCCTCTGGTTGACCTGCCACTGCTCGCTGTGACCAAGCAGGCTTGCAAGATCACTGCCCCACGAGATCAGCGTTGCCATGTTGGCTGCACGGCATTTTTCAGCCTTTTCAGCCTTTTTCTACCTTTAGAGGTGTGTCAAGGTGGTTCTGAAAACCACATTAAAAAACCCAACAACCAAGCAGAGGTCCCCCCAAAACCGACTCAGCACCATGGGAAGGGCTTGCAGACGAGATACACACGGGACATCTCCATCCCTGGGGCCCCGCTGGGTCCGTCTTCATCCCCATCCCTGTCCCTATCCCCTCCCCAGGCTGGTGGCATGGCTCACAGCAGGCAAGACACGGCTACGCTGAAGCAAAAGGGCACTTCTCCGAGCTGTCGGCAGCTGCTCATCTCCGCAGTAGCTTAGTTACATTAAGGCATGAAGACCAAGTGCATAGGAAGCAGTGGGACCCTCTAGGCGCCTCCAAATCAGCCCCTGAGTCCTTTTCCATTGAAATGTTCCTCAAATCCTCCTCCAAGATGCTCGCTGTCATCAGGGTGAGGAAGAGGAGCCTCTGGCTTCAGGTGGGCCCTGTGTACACTGACTATCTGGTTTAATCCGCTGGCTAGAAGACGAGTCCATGAAAGGAGCCGGATCCGCCCCCGCCCGCCGCCGGGCTGCAGCCCCCCGACGAGCTGTCATCATCCTTGTCCCTGTCAAAGTCTCTCCACCACAGCGGGGATTTCGGCAAGGCAGAAATGTAGGCAGCTCTGTTCCTCGCTTCTTTTTCCTGCTCCTGGGAGAAGGAAGAGGGAGAAATAACACAAGGATATTTGTGGCTAAATGACCTGGGTGGGGGGATGCTCCCACCTTCCCCGAGGAGCTGGGAGCCTGTTTGGTTGCTCCTGGGAGCCTCCTCCAAATTAAACCAGGGTGAGAATGCCATGTGTTCATTTCTAAAGCTCAGCAGACGGGATGCAGCAAAACATTGCATCTCTCCAGTCATCAGAAAACAGCCCTTCCCTGTCACCTCTGGGGGAGGAGGGACCCCTCAAATTTCCCGGGGTGCTGCTCAAGTCCGATGGGACACTGCTGTTTGGAAAGCGTTGAACTCCACCAGCTGAACGAAATCTGTTCTAGCCTGTATTCCCAGCTTGCCCATCTTTCCCAGGGACTTAGGAGAAAAGTTCAGGCAGAGCTGCCTGGGGCAGGCAACAGCAAATCAACCCCGAGCACAGCCACGAGGTGTCTTGCACCAACCTCAATGCCCAATTTCATCAGGAAACTGCGACCTGTTTATACCTGGATGCTAAAAAGGAAAAGGGATTTGGCTTCAGGGAGCGGGTGGGTATCCGCATGCAGGGATTTATCCACAGGACGCGACGCTGCTGCTGCCCGGATGGGTGGGAATGTGGCCCCTGAGCCGGGCAGCCGCAGGATCGCACCCTGCTGTGCACGGCAGCGGGAGTTACCTGCAAGTAGAGGATGTTATCTTTGGAAATAGCTTCCATCAAGTCCTTATGGAGGGAGGGTTCGCCGTGCAGGCGGCCAGCCTCAGCCAGAGACTCGTGCAGTGGGCAGCTCTGCCTGCCCGGCCGCTGCCTGTAGAAGAGGACGTAGGCAGTGTCTTTGGGGAAGAAAGAGGTGACGTTGCTGACCGATTCGAAGGAGGAGAACGAAACTCTGGTGTCATTGAAGAGGTACCACTGGATTTCAAAGTCCAACTGCTTGTCGGAGGCCGGTTTCGGTGCCCCGTCCCGGGGCTGCCCGAGGGGGACAGTGTCGGTGCACTCCCTGGAGTAGCAGTAGTAATGGCCGCTCTCGGAGGAGATGCCTGAATGCACCACCACGCTGCAGAGGTCATACACAACAGACATGAAGCCACTTCCTGGGGCAGCCCTGTCCTTCCCACTCTGGCAAACCTCCTCAGTTTCCTCTGGGGTGACAAGGACGGGCAGCTTGAGCACCACGGGGATGGAGACATTGTCCAAGATCTTCTTCCTCTTCATAGTCCGTGGGTCAAAGGAGAACCGCAGCAGCGTTAGGATGAGGTAGTGTGGACCCTCTGTCAGCTCGGCCACCTTCTCAGCGTCTTGCAAGGACGCGCATTTCTCACAGTGGTATTTATTCTCTGCTGTCAGTCTCTCTGGGGATAGGAAATAGTTGATTAAATCTGGGACGGACCTGGAGTCCTTGCGAGCACACGCCTGCTCCCCAAAAGCCGAGTGAGCGGTTGTGGCTGCGTCCACGCCAACGGCATTGCCACTTGAGGGATTTGCTGCTTCTCCTGGCTCCTGGAAACCCAATGTTTCCACTGGCATCGGCGGGGCTGCAGGGTCTCTGGCCATGGGGGCCTTCCTCTGGACCCAGGGAGACCCCGTAAGCTGGCTTGGGTTTTCAGGAGGCTCAATAAACTGTGGGCCGATTTCTTCCACCGGTAAAACAGACGTGCTCCCACGCATGTGCCTGTCTGGTGGGGGAAAAGCCAGGGACAGGTCTGTGAAAGCTTCTTCTCGGGAGGAGACATTCAGACACTTCAAGCAGCGGATCTTTGTCATCATTTTACCCCCAAACATCTTCTCAATCAATGTCTTGTTTAAGTAATGATGCTCCACCGCCTGAGACATCAAGTTGGATTCCTTGAGTTTCTGGTAGATCCTTTTTCCAGTTTTTTCTTCTTCATGTAATCTTTGGCAGGGATAAAAAAGGCTGCGTTATGCACCGATATGACACCAAGAGGTAGTTTCTGAAGTAGGGTTTCTGTTCTTCACTCCAAGGGGTTAATCTGGGTTAACCTGCCTGTGCCCAGGAGTCTGGTACTGCGTGAGGAAGGTGGGGAGGGGTTGGCCAGGATTTGGGAACCTGAGGTCTCCATGTGCCATTGACCCCCCACTTCTAAACAGATTGCTGCAACACCAGAGATTCGGGATTTCCAGGTAAGAGAAAGGCAAAAATCAACATTTTACAGAGGAAGCTGAGTGGCTTGTCAGGCAAATCTCTAAACTTGGTACAATTCCCTTTGCCTTCAGAGCAAAGGCAGAAATTTTCAAGCTGAACTAAGTTCTGACCTTGCCCCTAAGCCAGCCCAAGGTTGTATCAAGGAGCCCCGGACCGGTCTCACCATCTTTCACCCCAAGCCTCCACTTCCCCACCTCCTCTGGGTCTCAGCTGCTTGCCCCATTTGCACGTGGGTCAACACTAAGTTGGGTCTAGGGATGCCATTGTCACCAGGCTCCGAAATCACGGCACTTGCTACGTACCTGTCCAGCAAGTACTTGAGATACTCCGAGCAGTCCTGCTGAGCGCCGGGGGTGAACCAGGGTGGCCAGGAGGCAGAGAGGAAACTCTCGGGTGAGATGGCAGGTCGCTGGCAGCAACACAGAAGAAGAAGTGCTTTTAACCCCAGGGATCTGCTTCTTATTTCACACAGGGGGATGGAGAGGGAAGAGGAGGGTCTTTCTGGCTGCTTCACTGGGAGCGGGGTGCACTTGTGTGCCTGACAAGGTCTCCATTTTTTCCCCTACAAGGGCTAATCCCAGTGCACAGAAAGATTTTCTTGGTTTGCTGCAAGCCAGGACTGTAAGGATGAATTTCAGCCATTATTTTACATATACTTCTATAAAATATCCACGTGTTTATTTCTTCCTTCAATTTTAAAATAGTTTATTGGCCTGACACAGAGAATTCTACTTAATTCAGACTGAATTTAATTTGATGCTCCATTTAATTTGATCAGGATCTCTCTCACCAAATCCCTTCTTAAAAAAAAAAAAACAAAGAAAAAAATCCACTAAACTTCGACCCATCATTCTGATCACTGCAGGCAGGTAATCTGCATTACCGGATAATATAATCACTGCTGTTAGGAAGCTGCTGTCTAATTAACATGGAAAAAGACCCATCTTCGGCAAAGAAGTGACTTGAACAGCCCAAAGAAGAAAAATAACTAGAAGGCTGTTAGGAAATTAGCAGGAAACTATTAACCATAAATTACACAACAAGCAAATATGCTTCTGTATTTGCTCATCACAGATCACAGACACCTTAACCTGCCATCAAAAACTAGACTCTTCTATGACCAAATACTAAATTTCACAGGTTGTCTACATTTTTCCCCCAAAAGTCATCTGTAATGACATAATACCACAATGCAACAAGACACCTCTGTCAGTCAAGGCTTGGAAAATGAAGAAGCCCAGATGACTGGTTTCACAGCAAGGGAAAATTCACTGGACTTTCAAAATCATGTCTTTCTAGGGACAGAAAGATATATTTTCAAGAGAGGAGCTAGATATGACCTAGTTGTATCGCCAGGAGTCACTCATATTAAATTTCATGTTTGTCAAGAAAGCATTCATAATTAATTTGTTTAAGGGTGTTATTTTTATTTTATTTCACGCACAGAGAATTCAAAGCATCTGGAATCTAAGGGGGGGGGGGTGTGTCTATTATTATTCTTTTAACAAAACCACTTTTAAGGCAATTTTCATCAATTGCTTGTGCTTTGCTGTGAAGCAAGGGGACAAGCAAGCAGCTCCAGTCTTCTTTGCTGCACAGCAAGAAACAAAAACCTCTGCTTTATCCCAACATGCTTTTCAGCTGGCCACATATGTAAACTATTACCGAATGGACTTCATTGTCAAAACTATTAGTTATTACATCAGTCCAACCCAGGAAGACCACAGGCGGAAGACAGGCAGCCTGGTGTGAACACAGCTCGCTTTCATGGGTGATAGGAGCTTGCCTCCTCCACCCCCAAAATTAGTCTCTTTCATATAAACAAAATTCGTCTCATTATAAAAACCCAGCAAGATCCACAGTTCCTTATCAGCACGCTGGAGTCGGCAGGAAGCAACTTGGAGACGAGCCTTTCCGCAGCCGACAGTCCAAACAAATAACTAGAACATGAAATAATTACCTGACTGTGCTCCAAAAACGCAAAGAGCCACTGGAGCTTTGTCATCAGGGGCTGGGAGTTGCCCTCGGTTAAATTCAACACCGAATGCCGAAAGCTGCAAAAGAAAAGTAAAGATGCAAACCGTAAGATGGAAAATTAGTGCAGGACATGCAACACCGGTGTGATGAGTGGGAGCAAGGGAGCAAAAACTCACTCTGAAGCCATGAAAAGAGACTGTATGATGCTGTTCATGTAGCAGGTGTTTCCCAAGTTAATTAACCCAATCTTTCCCGTCTCCGATTTGGACACCAGGCGTGGGTAGAAGCAGGCCAGCTCGTTCTTCTGGGAGGTCCAAGCATTTTGTCCCAAGAGGTGTTTAATCCGATCTTCATTTGGAATAGGAAGAGCCTTGGAAGAGAGATCTGTGTTACTAATTGTTATCTTTCCACATGAAGAATTAGTAACCAGCAACTGCAAAACTTCTCTGCTAGAGGTGTTCATGCAACTCATTTCCCCTGCTCTTTGCATGAACATGCATCTATGCAAGGACCCTTAATTGGTTTAGTGGTGGACTTGGTAATGTTAGGTTAATGGTTGGACTGGATGATCTTAATGGTCTTTTCCAACCTAAACGATTCTATGATTCTAAGGAAGTGTTTAGCTGCTAGTATTAGTACTTTAGAGGCATTCAAGATTAAAGTTATAGCTAAAACCCACAGGCACAATCAGGACTTCTGCAGGCCCACTGTAAGAGAAGTATATTCCCTCAACTTGCCTACATGGGGCTCAAACTCAGAATTTTAAACCCTTTCTTCTACTACAATTTGAGGTGTTGAGGTTAGGACATCCCTACCAGTAGGACAGTCCCTCTGCACTAGGCTGCAAACTAAGATGCCATTTCCATATGCAAAACAGAAAAATGGCCAAGAGGCGCGTGCCTTACTTTAACTGCTTCTAGGACTGGCTCGTAGAGATCTGGAAATCCTGAGAAGCGGAAGAACATGCAGTGGATGAGCTCGGCCAGCTGCTCCAGGGAGCTGGTGGCAGAGTTGGAGTCCTCCTTCTTCAGAGAGGCCACGAGCCTGGGGATGTGAGGGAGCAGCTGGAAAAGGAAAATTCACTACATCAAAAATGGCTTCAAATTACTCACAGAGCTTTAACACACATGCACAGGGGAATGAAATTCCCCCCCCAAGGCAGAAAGGACAGTCAACAGGAGTTGACTTCAGTCCCATTCTGGACTTCATTCTTCAACCTATGAACTCAGCAGCAACTCTCCTGTTGACTTTAGTAGTGCAAATGCTATAGACCTTATAGGGTTTCATGCTCCATGACACCTGCAGGTTTGTGCTGCTGCTTTGCCAGGCTGAAATTACCATTCTTTTTGCAGATCAATCTCTACTAAATCACACACCCACATTGGAAAGGAGCATTATACACTGGCTGCCAAATGCAGGGATTCAAACATACAAGGTAGATGAATTAGCGTACAAGAAGTGTTGTCTGGAGTGCTATATTTTATTTTATACTGTATAAACTAAACTGGAATTGGTATGGTCAGATAGGTAGCGACAGGCACATAAGCAGCACATTTGTTATTTTGCATTCATCTAGAAAATTTAAAAATGAACAAGCAGACACAAACGATACACTGCTCACGGGCACCCTCTGCTGACCTCGCAGCTGCACAGAGAATTAATAACCTATTCCCAACCCTGCAGATGTGCTAGAGTGACCCTGGACACTTATGCAACCTTTTTCATATTTATATTTTATGTGATTTTTACCCCAGAACAATCCTGGACTAAAGTCTCAGGATCCCCAGTCTGGCCATTTTCCAGTCCTCCCTTCCTCCCTTCATCTTCCTTTCTTCTTTCTCTCTCTTTCTTTCTCCTCAAAATGTTGGTGATTTTAACCATTTCCTTTGCATCAGAAAGGTTTTGTTGGGGAAGCAAATGAATCCCAGTGCCATTTTATAAATCAATATTTTGCCAAGCTATGATGGGAACAATTCTCAAAATCCTTCCAAAGAGCCAGGACAAACACAAAAAGATAAGAAGCAAGACAGGTTTGTGCCCTGTTTTTTATAAATAGGGGAGAAAATTTGTGCTCGCTGGGCTGCAGATGGAAACTTAAAGCCAAGAGCAACTGACAGCTTTTGGAGTGTTTCAAATTTTGGACACTCAACTGAAGACAATTCGTTGGAACGATCCTATTTTTAGAAACCAAAGAGTTTCTCAAGAAATTCAGGCTCATTTAAAGTGTCTCCAGCTGAGGAATGAAAAAACATCAGTTGAAAGTGTTGGCTAGCTTTACTTTTTTCCAGACTTATCTGTTTATTCTGTGAACTTTAGGTGAAAAGCCAAATGTAAGGGCTTTAACAAAAAAAGTATAAAATCAAACATTAATAGGAGTATTTTTCCATTACTTCTTTTATCAGTTCAATCATTGCAAGCATGCTTTTGCCTTCAACTCTGCTTTTTAATTACAGCATTCCAGTGGCAACACCGACAAGAAGCAGAGCCATGCCTTAGTGTCAACAGCAAAATAAAATATCACTGTGGAAAAGAAGAGATTCAGATGCTGCTAAAAGTGTTTTTCACCTTTAACAGTGGAGAATTCATGAAGCAGAAGTGTTCTGATTCAGTCTTCAAGTCTTATGGCGCTGATGCTCTGCAATGCTTGGAAACGTACCCCATCACTTCAAGAAATGGTAATGGGTGCCACATATTGGTGACAATTTGAAGTCACACGTGGGATGGGGCCCACTGAGTCCAAGGGACAGTCAGGCACCTGCTTAGGAAACAGCATGGGCTGCTTAAGAATGTGTTCCCTGTCCTCCGCTGCCTGAGCCCTCCAAGATGCTCTCAATGCAAATGCTTCACCTAACGCATCCCAAAGCCAGAGTTGGCAACACCTCAGCTGAAGGGGTAGGAAAAAATATGGGGCCGTATCTTCTAAACCTGACCCTGAAACTACATCCTAAGCCAGCCTGGGTCAGCGTAGCCCTGCTCACCTTCCTGCCCCAGGCCACCCCTCCACCTCCTCCCCTCTCCTTCTCCAGGCAAATGCAATAGTGCAGGTTTGTGGTTGACCCAGACCCAGACCAAGCTGGGCAATACTGACCATCATGATTTCTGCTAGGTTAGGTTTCACCTGGGCTCCTTTTACAACACAGTTCAGCACAGGGCTGTACAAACAGCTCAGAACAAGGGAGAGTGGCTGGGAGAAGCGAGCTGTCTAAGAGCAAGAGCAGGGAAGAGGGGAACCTCCTCTTCACCTGCAGGGCTGGCAAACACCAGGTTAAAATGACTGCAAGAGCGATACAGCCACTGCTGAGGAGACCCTCAGCGTGACTTGACAGGCCATCCGATATATTTGCATTAACTGCATCCTTGGCTGGTGGGCTTTGAAGTTGAGAGAGGACCATGGGGATGCACTTGCCCATAGAGACCACTCCTCCAGCTGGTAGAGCACCGCAGAAAAAAAGTCACGCATGCGCACATTGCACACATTTCAAATCTGGAAGGGCCAAGCCCCAACCAGCTTTATACTGATTTATCCCCGGAGATGAGCCATCCAGCTGATAAGCCTCAGGAGAAATGGAGGAACCATCAGAGGAGAAAGCAAAGGCTCACTCTCCTCAGGACCTCACTCTCTGACATACTGTCATTGCTCTGTCCATGGCAACCAACTCCTTTTAGGCTCAGGATTTGCCTCCACGCCTCAGCACCAGCTCTGCGGTACCCAAAAAGCTGTTTGGGCTGCAGGAGAGGGTCAGCAGCCACCAGGACAGGCTGCAAGTGGACAGACAGGGTTGGGTTTACATCACTCAGTGAAATTAAGCAGATGAGGGAAACACTCCCCAATATCTCAGCACTTTAGGCTCCCTCCCACCCATGTTGCCCCATGGCATGATTACAGTCAGGGTGATGCCTCGTGAGTGCCGGACACAGCCTTACCAAGTGAAATGCCTCATGCGAGTGCTGGAAGCTCAGCAGCATGTACTGCAGGACAGACAAAGCCCCCTCTCTCACGATGGGGTACAACAATTTGGAGAAGACCTGGTGGGGAAGAAGAAAAGCCAATGAGAAGGCAGGATGGCACCGCAGCACGCATGAGAAGGGGCCAGCAGGGAAGAGAGGCACTGGGCATCTACCACGGCTGCTGGTCTGTCCCTGCTCCACGCTGGATGTCAAAGCAAGCAGCCCACAGCCAGTCCTCCAGAGTCATCTCCTGTCCAGAGCATGGCCTCAGGGCATCCCAAAAATACCCTGTGGGTTATCCTCACTCGTTCAGGCCTGTGCAATGCCTGCAACAGTGTGGTGGGCTGACCCTGGCTGGACACCAGGTGCCCACCCACCAGTTCCCCGCCAAAGCCGCACTGTCACTCCCCTCCTCAGCTGGACAGGGGAGAGAAAATATAACAAAAGGCTCTTGGGTTGAGATAAGGACAGGGAGATCACTCAGCAATTACTGCCATGGGCAAAATGGACTCAACTTGGGGAAATTAATTTATTGCCAATCAAATCAGAGTAGGATAATGAGAAATAAAACCAAATCTTAGAACACCTTCCCCCAACCCCTCCCTTCTTCCCTGGCTCAACTTCACTCCCCGTTTTCTCTCCCTCCTCCCCTTGAGCAGCGCAGGGGGACGGGGAATGGGGGCTGCGGTCAGTT